ACAGATTTGTGAGTTTTTGTGTTCAAAGTTTTTGACTAAATATTTATTAAAATAGGTATAAGGTTTTTGGGCAAGACAGCGCCTGCGGCGAGCGACCTCGGAGCAGGGGCATCAGCCCCCCCAGCACACTGAGAGAAAAAATAGGCTGTTATAACTAAAAATTTAGTAAATGTAACTAGAAGCGTGTATAGCATAGAGGACACGTCAAAAATTTAGTTGCAATGGCAAATATGAATTAGTTCGTACGACATACGACTTTCGAGGTTATATCAACTAATATTTTAGTTAGCCGCAAACATTTATTCTTAACCTAAAAACTTGTTGCAGCAACTATTATTTCATAGTTGTCCGGAGTTATTCAAGCTATAATTTTGTATTGGTGTAATCGAATGTAATACCACAAGAGGTTTCAGGATTACCGGATAATACTTTTACCCCACGAAACGCGTTACACAGCAACACCACGACTCCGAAGGAGGAGTGGTGTTGCTGGTAACGCGTTGAGTGTCAGGTAAAAGTATTAGGTAATCCTGAAACATCGAGTGGTATTCAGAAGGTTATACAACGAACTAAACTTATATGCTTTATTAATTTTTATTATTATTAATGACAAATGCCACCAAGCGCGATAATCCCAAAAGGCTTATCACTTATTAAGCCTCTCGTGTCATATGGCAATAATGTACAGTGAGTTGTATAACCAGTATAATTATCGATGACAACTCATTTTCCTAGTTGACTTTGCCTTCTTGCTTAGCAGTGGCAACTAAAAAGTATTTGTTATAATAGCATGAAAACTAGTTATACCAGCAATCATTTTTGGTTTACCAAAAAATATGGAAATTCAACAATTTATAACTACCACAATAACATTAAGGTGAATATTGTATTTATTCAAATAAATTGATGAAGTCGCATATTTTTTTGTAACCTTAAAATTCTTGCAAAAAATACCTACGATGTCGTTTTTTTTGAATTTTAAGTTTATAAAAAAATATGCGAATTCAGCAATTCGTAATTAAATAAACACAATATTCATCTTAAGGTTATTGTGGTAGTTACAAATTGTTGAATTTCCATATTTTTAAGTAAAATCAATAGAAATATAAAAATACAAACATATTGTTTTTAATAATTATTTTTATTCCAAAATATAGTACCTACATGTGAGTATGAGGATAAACACAAAATAAATTCTTAACGTAAACAATTTTCTAAGAGAAAAAACATGTATAATGTTGATATTGACTCGCGATTCAACTTCATAAATCAGTTTCTTATATACTAACTAGTCAACTATAAACATGTGACAAGTGGTTTCTATTGTCAATTATATTTTTTTGTTCAATACACTGAATTCACAGTACACGCGCACATCACCAAACAGGACGTTTTCTGCGTTTTCCTGAACTCCGAAATCGACAATCGAATTCTGCGCATCAATTGACCGTTTGAGGAGACGGACTGAATACATACACGCAGGCGACTCGTGGCCAAGTACGGAGACAAAAACAAGATCGGCACTGGTGGGGAAATGAGCGGTGCATTCTATTGGTCCGTACAATTAACTAAGAAATACTAGTTGTGAGAACTAGGTTGCTGCAACTGGTTTTTTAGTATTAAAGGTACATATTTTGGTTATTTTTTATTTAACCAGCCTAATTAGTAATCACAACATATTGTAACAACCAAAATTATAGTTAGCTATGTTTTAACAACAATTTTTAGTACTTAGAACTGATTATGTCAGTTAAGATGATTTCCAAGGTACAACTAATTTGAAATGGCTTCAATAATAAAAACAGAGTGGCCGTAATAGCTATTTACCTAACAAGTGCGGAAAAATATTTTTCGCAAGTGTTAGGTACAATATTTTAGTCAAATTATCGATGCAATGTCAAAAAAATGCGAATTTCGCAGTTATGAATACAAGGCTTTATACGGTTCCAGGAATTCAAGTAGAGCTGGGCATGGCTATAGAGACGGGCGTAATTGTACTTACTTATTTTTTCTATACGTATGGGTAGTAATCCCTAAACTAACTTGTAGCTTTTTGCTTTGCTTTTTCGTATTATGGTTCAATACATTGAAATTTTAAGGGTCGTTACGCGCTTCGCGCGCCGCCCCTAAGATTTTGCCGCCCGGTGCTACTGCACCCAAAAGACCCCTGGTTAAACCGTCCCTGATAGCGGCTAACATTGTTTTGTGCAAGTGGTTTCTAGTAACTTCCTTGTGACAGGAAAAGCAAATAGGTAAAGAATCGTACAATTGATAGTACGTCCTTGAACCGTTTTCCAGAAAAAGCAACAAATGTGTGAAAAGACTTTGCGCAGTTTCGTCGTCCGATCTAAACATTTGACGAAAACATTCCTCTAGCGATTCCAGGGTATTGCGTACATGCCTATGGAACAACCTCAGGTGTTGCCTTAAAAAAATATCAGCCAGTTTTTATTTGGTAAAAGTAATCTCTTATCGTTTGCAAACTTCATCAAGAGCGGTTTCTACTAATTCAGAATCCATTATATCAATCAAAATCGCCAGTAAAATTTAGTACAAGCACTACCAGTATGCAACTGTAACGATCGTTATGCTTGTAACGAGAGCCACTGGGCTATCGTAATCTAACGACGCTTTTGCGTCCATTTTAAAGTTACAATAACGACAATCGAAAGTTACTGAATCGAAAAGGTCGTTAGCTAACGACAATCGTTGAATAAAGACGTCGTTACGAGTTACAGAATAGGCCTCCTAGTGGGGGATTCCTTTCTCTCTCCAGTCTCTCCAGTTCATTGCTGTTAGATTTGGTATATTCCTAACGTCGAATAAAATATTTTTTGACAAGGAAAGATAATAATATCAGCTCCAATAGCGCTGCTGGCAACCGCCGAAGGCGAATTTTTTTTCGGTGCCACGCCACTTTTTCGAGCATTTCAACGTACTTATTCGACATCGATAGTTAAAAATGATGGTATTTTTTTTCCGTAACAAATTCACTGTCCGCATCATTTGTTTAGGTAATTGTCTAATGGCTGTTCACAAGAAGAAGGAAGCTAAATTTGAAAGCCCCGACCCTTAATGGTACACAACTTACATTTTCCAACGAAGTGAAGTACTTAGGGGTCACCCCGGATCGAACTCTCACTTGGAACAAACAGTTAGAAAAATCATGATCTCGAGCTACATCAGCCTTCTGGTTATGCCAAAAACTTGTTGGCAAAACATGGGGGCTAGAGCCAAAGATGGTATTCTGGATTTATCAAACTATAATAAAGCCGATGGTCACATATGCCTCATTGATGTGGTGGCCCAAAACCCAACAAGTCACCGCTCAGATCAAGCTAAGAAAGGTGCAAAGGCTGATTTGTCTAGGAATAACGGGAGCAATGTCAACTTGTCCCACCGCAGCCCTAGAGACGCTACTCAACATGTCCCCACTTCACCTATGTGTAAAAAAGGAAGCAATAACCAGCGCTCACAGGCTATTCCAAATAGATAAGTTCAAGCCTGGTGATCTGAGCGGACATCTGCGAATCCTTGATTTAATAAAACTGGAGAATATCAGCAAACCAAGTGATCACATGATGGTCAGATTGGACTTAGAGATCCTCTTCGCAGTCGTAATAAACGACCGCCAATCATGGGAGAATAAAGAATTGTTACAAGCAGACAATGCATCTCTGTGGTACACAGATGGATCCAAGCTAATGCAAGGAGCTGGACTGGGCATTTCCCTAAAAACACTAGCGATACATAACCAGGTAACGTTGATGTGGCTGCCTGGTCATCGAGGGATAGAAGGAAATAAAGAAGCAGATGGCCTCGCAAAGGAAGGGGCCTCAACACCATACCATGGACCAGAGCCCTACTGTGGCTTAATGAAAATCCACATCATGGAAGAACTCAACAAATGGGAGAAAAGAAAGACCAACTGTCATCATATTGGAGGCACACACCGGGACTCAGACAGTCAAAAAAGTTTATTACCCTTTCAGCAAAAAGAACTGAACAGCTCCTAAACATGAGCAGACCAGACATCAGATTGGTGGTAGTAGGACTGCTCACAGGACACAGCCTAGTAAAATACCATTGAAGGTTAATGGGCAGAGCGGAAGACTGTCGTCGACCTTTGCAGATTCTGCTCAGACGCAATAGAGACCGCAAAGCACCTGCTCTGCGAATGTCCAGCCCAATTCTGCAAGAGGCTCAAATTCCTTGAGGGGGCAACACGTCACCAGAAGAAGTGGGCCAACTGACACCCAGGAAAATTGCTTCCTTCGGCAGAAGTCTACGCTTCCTGGAGACAACTTAAGATGTAGAGTCACGTACAAAATATCTGCAAAGGTAGCAGTGCTGAGCGGCTGAAAAGCCGAAACGACTCCGCCGCAATCTATAATCTACAATGGCCGATATTATAAAACACTGAACCGATGGTTCAGTTTCAACATTCGGTTTACTCCATGCAAATTGATAGGATTCAACCGAAGGTTGAAACTCAACCATCGGTACGAACTCTCTTTTATTACTGGTTTGTGATTTCTACAGAAATAGACCTATTGACTTCTTGAAATTCCCAACTATAGGTTCATAGTTTAAGCAACATACAATCTGGCTGGCTATGTTTATTGCTAGTTTTCAACATTGGGCGTAAACAGCATAGTGTACTGATGGTGACGTCATGCCTCCGAGCACTGCTTAGACGATCCGACTATCCTCTTGTCGTTCATACTCCTTGGGTGTATAAGCCGAAGTGAAAAATTATTGTTTAAACCTAAATAATAATAAGATAAAATGAAAAATGGTATAGCTGGGTGGCTCGAGAAATGAAAAGAAATTGTATAAAAACTAAAAAGTTAGAAGTTCCCTAAAATGAATATTGTTTGCTCAGTGAGTTCATAGATGGCGCCATTTTTGTAGACGTAGAAAGAAATGTACCTATCTGTCAAATCAAATTATAATTAATCTCAAATTCAAAACTGAAGTAAAATAGTTGTTGAAGTGTTTTATTCGGAAGTATTAGTATTTATACATAAAATGACTGTCCCAAAAGGAAATTTTATCGTGGAATATGTAATGTCGGGTGTTGACGAGTTCTGGAATCGCACATGTTCACCACAGGTGATAAAATTTAGCGTTTACGTTACAACAGTTTGGGTGATATATTCAATCGTGTTGCGGTTCCTGAAAATTGGTTTATGGGCTTACGAAAGAATTCATTTGTGTCGGCATTTCGAAGAACTTTACAAAGCAGTAGAGAGAAACGACACGCTGAAAGCCCATTCAATTCTAACCAATTATCCTCAATACGTTAACAAATTCAAAAATCCAGAAGGCTATACTCCGTTCATGTTAGCATGTGCCAATGCAAACACTTCACTGGTTAAAGTTATGCTACGCTGTGGCGCTGATATTCAACTGAAATCCATAAATAATAATGAATCTCCGTTTTATTTGGCCATTCTTTATCACATCCGTAATTTCAATGAATCGGATGCCTCGTGTATCCGTGAACTATTCTATGCAGGAGCTGATATAAACGAACCAGGTGGAAAAGATAGTGCTACGCCTCTACAATTAGCTGCCTATTCTGGACATACTGGGCTTGTGAAATGGCTACTTTCAAAGCAAGCAAAAACAGACACTTGTCCATGTCCATTTCGTCTTGCGAAGGCTAATAAACGTTTTGCTGCGGCCGCTCTTTTAGCCTCTTGGATGCGAAATCAAGCTCGCTGTATTGACTATTAGGTGTTTTGCATCAAAACGTTTTTTTATTTAGATTATTAAGGTTTGTGTTGTTAAAGTTAAGGAAGAACCAATTTTTTTTAGTTTCAATACAGAGTGGTACTTGATAGAAATTCATTAAAATGAAACAAAAATGTCTTAGGGTATTTGTAACATGTTTTAGTACTAAAGAAGTCACCGTGTGCTGAAACATGTTTGGTGCCAGAATTTCGAGAAAGTCAATAATTGTTTGTAAGTAGGTATCTTGTTATTTTTAGTTTGTTTTATTATTCAGGTAGGTAGGTATGTTATGTTATTCAGAGGTCCTTGAATTAGAGTTAAGAGTCATCTATTTTTGAAAAAAAGTTGGTAGGTATCCTCACTCAATGTGTTTCATTTCTTCCGTTTTACGGAGATTAAAGTAAGTGTTATTACATTATTATTATTTTTGAACTTGTTGTTTCCTCCATGTATCAGATTTTTTTATAATGTAAGGACAAAATAAGTACTTACTCTTGTTGTTCCTTTAACAATGGTTTTTAATTTAATTTTGTTTGGACATTTTGGGTGGTAATAAAACTGCTTTTAACCTAGCTTGAATTTTGATTTTCAATACCTATTGCTGTTGTATATTCAATTTGTATGTAGCACCAAAACTCTACTTTCTCCGCTACTATATAATATGTAGGTACATACGAGAGTGTCCGATTCTGTACTAAAAAGAAGTAGAGCGTTTGATCGAAGCGCACCAGTGGGGGATAATAGAAACTACAGTCGTTGCATCAATCGATAAGGCAGGTACCTATGCTTCAAGCCGAAAAAAGGCGGGATATTTGAATGGATGTTCTTGATCTGAATTTTCTTTGCAGTAAATAAATTACGAGATAAATTAAAAATATATTTTATTAGCAATAAAAGCAACAAGAGCACAACATAACTTTCTAACATAAAACACAAAATTCTAATATTGAAAAATGTTTAATCTTGAAGTCAATCTGTCAGAAGTAGGTACTTGTGTACCCTCTCCTCTCTCTGGAAAATCTAAAAATGAAAAAAAGAAAATACTCTTTAAGTCAATCCACTTTGGTTTATTCTAAGGCATACCTTTAAACTGAACTAGGTCTCTTGTACGCTGTATCTAGTAGGCGTGCCTACTCAAGTACTCTCTTGGTTCTTGGTTTATTTTGATGGCCGGACTAGAAACAGAAAAAAATAAATATTTAGTAGGTGTACACCTACTACTTTTTTCAATAAGGAAGATTATTTTTAGGTAATATAGCCTTACGCTTGCTTCTTTATGGTCTGAATTCAAACATTAAACAAAAGTACACACTGAAACTATAATAAGTACCTACCCTTAGATTTAAAAAATACTTGGAACCCATTCATGTTATTGATTCATGATATATATGATCCCAGGTATAATAGGTATCTTTTTAATTTTTCAGCTTAGCTTTTCTGCCAATTTTCAATTCAAATTATGAATTCGGAATTCGAAGAGTGATGAAACTCACCAAACCAAAACACAAAACATATGGTCGCGGCCATTGTCATTTATCATTTTAGTTCTGCCGATTATGGCCCCCATGCGCGAATTACCTTGCGCAAAAGCTCAAACAGTATGCCAATTCGCACCTATGATTCGGACACTCTCCTTTATGTATGATATTTTTCTATGGTACATACCTTTTTCTGGCTTGAGGTTGAACGGCGTCCAATAAGCATAGCTGGGGTTGGTATGTCAACTATTCGTGAATGAACATAAAATAAACTGTTTCAAGTAACTTAAAAATCTGTTTTGTTTTGTTTTGTTTCGGGTCATCTCTTGATTTAGGTAAATGCAAAATAGGGAATCATCAAATAATAATGCTTTTCAGATATTAGTAGCATCAGCCTTGGAAATTTGACAGGTTGACCCTCGTATAATAAATAATGACGTTTGATGGCAAAATATTTTTCCTACAGCCGTGCGGAAAAATCGACTTTCCGCACTGATATGCGTGCGGAAAATGAGGTTTCCCGCACGGTGCGGTAAAACTTTTTTTTTTGACATATCAGTGCGGAAAAAGTTTTTCCGCACGGCTGTCAGTGCGGAAAAAATTTTACCGCACTGATATGTCAAAAAAAAAAGAAAAATTTTACATTTTTACGCCTGTAGGAAAAATATTGTACAGGGTGCTGCAATTTGGAGTGTTTCAACAGGAAAAACATACTTTTTTTTTTTTTTACGGATATGCGCACTCGCAAGGAAATGTCCTATCACGCTCGAGAAGCGGCAAGTGCGCGGAAATGTCGGTGTATGTTGGTCTTGAAACGGTTCAGGTTGTAACCTGCAGGGAAAACCGTCGCAGGGAGTTTATTCCACAGCGATGCTGTTCTCCAGAGATATGAATTCTGATATAATGAGGTTCTTGGTGCCTCTAGTTTGACAGTAAATTCATGGTTACCGTCTGTTTGACGGGTTCGCCTGGTAGGTGCTACTCTCGGTGGAATCATACGTGCCAACTCTTCAGAGCATTTTCCGTGATAGTACCTGTAGAAGAGAGATAAATCGCCCACAGATCTGCGATGTTCGAGACCATCCAAGTTACGAGTAAGTGCGGTGTCATTGATCAGCTTTATAGCTCGTTTTTGCACGGTATTCAAAAGCATTAAGGTATGTTTGGGTGCTGCACTCCATATATGTGAGCAGTACTCCATAGTTGGTCGAATCTGGGCTTTGTAGAGTGTCAGCAATTGGGTTGGTGTGTACAGATGTCTTGTACGAAATAGCACCCCCAGCTTTTGGGAGGCCCTTTTAGCAATATCTGCCACGTGACTGTGCCAAGACATGTTGGTCTCTGCAGTAACCCCCAAGATGTTCAACTGACTCTGTAATGTGACAGCACTTCCAGGGGTGCGATTTTCGAAACCATTCGAGTACATTTCGTACACGAAATTTGACTGACAGCAATGTAAATTAAATGGGGGGCATTCGAAATTATCTCAAATTTCGTATACGAAATGTACTCGAATGGTTTCGAAAATCATACCCCAGATAGCATGATGTTTGGCTCACCGGTGCTGGTCTTTTTTGAAAACAGAGTTGCTTGGGTTTTCTGCGCGTTGAACTGTACAAGGTTTTTGTTACCCCAGTCCTCTATTATCTCCAGGTCGTTATTTATCTGCGATATTTGAGTTAGTCTAAGATGATGGAATTCACGTGCGGAAAGACCTGTGGGTGGTATGAGTGAGGAGACTACATTGCTATCGTCTGCAAAGCAATAAAGTGGATTTACTGTTTTATCTATGAGGTCATTTATGTAAATCAGGAAAAGAGTTGGCGAAAGGATTGCTCCCTGTGGCACACCAGCATTTATTTGGTAAGAGTTGGAGTTCTGGCCATCCAGTGCAACATAAATGGATCTGTCCTTTAGGTAAATTTCAAACCAAGTGCAAAGTTTCGGCGATAATCCCATTGCTTTGAGCTTGTTGAGCAGATTTTCATGCCAAACTTTGTCGAATGCTTTAGATATATCTAAGGCAATTGTTCTTGTTTCACCCCGCAACTCAATCGCTTTTTGCCATAAGTGAGTGACGTATGTAAGTAAATCGCCAGTTGACCTATATTTTCGAAATCCGTATTGCTTATCGTTGATAATTTTGTACTTTTCCAAGTACTTGGTTAGGTGATTGTTCACAACTCTTTCCATTACTTTTGATATCACCGGAAGTAGAGCAATTGGTCTATAGTTTAACGGATCTGTCTTTTTTCCTTTCTTTGGAATGGGTTGTACTTGCAGACCAAATAGAAGAAAATTGACTTAGACGTCATGGGATCGATTTTTGAGAAACGTCAATTGTCAAAAACCGTATAATGATATCTTCAATGGTACCATTGATACAGGGCGATTTTCGATTTTCCCCTATTATGAAAAATGGCTATAAGTTTTTTATCTATCAATTTTTTTTATTTCTGTAAAACCATTATGGAGACACTTTTTTTAACACAATCCAGTGGCGGATTCAGTTTTTTTCTATATCGCTCCGATTTTGAGATATCGACCAAATTCCGATATTTTCAAATGAAACACCCTATATATTAATAGCTCATTGGATAGCTCTGTTTTTGCTGATTTCAATGATATAAAGTTCGATAGGTTTATCTCTAACAGTTTTTGAGAAAAAAAATTATATTTGTTTTTGTCGTAAGGACCAATGTGTTAGAAAAGGATTTTATAGGTGGAAGGAGAATGAGGAAGAACTCTGTCTAACACATTGTTTCTTATGACCGAAACAAATATAATTTTTTTTCTCGAAAACTATCGGAGATAAACCTATCGAACTTTATATCATTGAAATCATCAAAAACAGAGCTATCCAATGAGCTATTAATATATAGGGTGCTTCATTTGAAAATATCGGAATTTGGTCGATATCTCGGAATCCGATCGATATAGAAGAAAACCGAGTCCGCCACTGGATTGTGTTCAAAAAAGTGTCTCCATAATGTTTTTACAGAAATAAAAAAAATGGATAAATAAAAAACTTATAGCCATTTTCCATAATAGGGGAAAATCGAAAATCGCCCTGTATTAATGGTACCATTGAAGATATCGCGATATGGTTTTTGACAATCGACGTTTCTCGAAAATCGATCCCATGACATCCAAGTCAATTTTCCTCTATCTGGTCGGGAAGTGTGTTTTTCCTGTTAAAACACTCCAAATTGCAGCACCCTGTACCTAACACATGCGGAAAAATTCATTTTCCGCACTTGTTAGGTAAATAGCTATTAAATTTCAGAGTAATGAAACAGAAAGCCGAGCAGAAAGCCGAGTTGCCAGAATGTGTAAAATATCTTGGTTTTTCCAAATTAATCTAAAAAAAAAATTGGGTAAAGTATACAGGGTGTTTGGTGCATCGTTTGCCAAATTTAACTGCCCGGAAGAGGGGGCCATTTGCTAACTCTTCAGCCATAAGAACCCATCCATTTTCTTAATTTGATTTTTAAAATTTTTTTTGAATCTCAAAATTCGCCATTTAAACTTAAATTTAAAAAAAAGTTGTTGACCTAGCCTCCAAATTTTATTTTTATTTTTATATGTACTGTAGTATGGTTCCACCAAATACAAAATTACTTGCCATTAAGGTCTAGGTCTTATTTACGTTTTCATACCAAATATCGAATATTAGCCTGCTGTGTTCCGAGACACAAATTTAGCAAATTAGTGAAGATATTAAAATGTTTTTACGGCATATTACATACCACTGGAAAAGGGATAAAATAGAGAATTTTTTAAGAGAATTTGAAGATCACGATCGACTTTAGTTTTTTTTTATTGCAATGGAAATTTCACTTCTCAATTTATTTTTACTTGTTTCAAAAATTTTATGAGTCAATAATAAAAAGACTAGACGTTAATGGCAAGTAATTTTATATTTGGTGGAACCATACTACAGTACACATAAAAATAAAAATAAAATTTGGAGGCTAGGTCAACAACTTTTTTTTCAAA